GCGCGCCTGCCGGAAGCTCCCCGGAGCGTGCGGGCCGCCCGCCGCCGCCCCGCGCGCGGCGCTGCTGCTCTCGCCTCTCTCGCTGTCCTGCCAGACGGGTCGTCTCCACAGTGACCTTTCTTTGCGGCTCTCGGATCGAGAGTCGGTCAAAAGCGGCCAGGAACTTGTTAGAAGAGGTCGCGGACTCGTCTCCAGGTTCTCAGTACATTTGGAATGTGGACTGAAAAACTGAATTTTTAGCTAGTTCTTGCCATTTGCCCAAGGACTACACTTTTAAAGCCTCTGGAACAGCAGTCCGCTGTCCTGGAAAATGAGCTTTTAAATTTAAAACAAGAGGGTTAAGTTTATCGGGACACCCTTTTCCAGCCTTTCTGAGTTGAAGTTGAAAGGATTGTACTCTTTTCCACATGTTTTTACTTCCTGAGTCCAGACTGTCCAGCTGACCCGCACTCGTGCTGTGTGTCTTTCATGATGTTGGGAATGCGTTTAAGGAGTGAGGAAAGGGGTGGTTCAGATGAGGGTGATCGGGCAGTAACTGAAAGCTGCGCGAAGGGAGCAGAGCGAGCCCGGGCGGGCCGCTGTGTGCGCAGCCGCTGTCGCGGCCCTCACGGGGGCTGCAGGCTCGTTCTGCAGGCTGACCGAGCTTTCGGTGGGCAGCCTTGGGAAGCCCTTGGGGCTCGTGGGAGAGCGCGTACTCAACACACCTCAGGCTCTGGGTTCAGTTCCTAGCAACAAAGCAAGACGAGGAGGCATGGCATCGGAGAGACAGGAGCAATGCACAGCTTGTAGGGCGACGTTTGGGCTTTCGTCCCGCCAATTCAATCCTAATGGTAACACCCAAGGAAGCTTATTGGCAGAGTGGAGTAATTGCTAGCTTTGTTTTGTATGTTTTCGCCCCATCTTCAGTCCCCCATAGCTGGTGTTACAAGAAGCGGCCTTCCAGCCTGGAACAGTGCCCGGGCAGTTGTTTGCAGCAGTCCTCGTGACAGTTACAATATGTGACCATTGTCTTTCAGTTGAGACTGAACTCCGTATTTGCAGCCTTTAACCTGTCTGTAATACCACATTTAAAGTAACTTACAGGGCTGTAGATGCTTGTATGATTTTGAAAATGGTTTTATAATTTCTTGTTTAAATAATGTTTTACCATTTTAGGTACTTATTAAAATGAAAGGTGATCTTTGGAAATTAACTTTTGTTTCTTTTTCTGCAGAAGAACATAGCTGTAGAAAACGACGTAAGAATAAACAAAGACAATCTTACTGATCTTTATGTCCAGCATGCCATACCATTGCCGCAGAGGGAATTGCCAAAGAATAGATGGGGGAAAATGATGGAAAAGAAGAGAGAACAACATGAGATAAAAAATGAACCTAAGAGGTACTTTGGGATGCTTTTAGTTTTTATTGTCTTACATGACTAAAAAGTTTTGTTTTACTCTCAGCTACACTTAAGTTAAAGAAAATTATTTGGCTGCTTACTGACATAAGGCACTGAGGTTATAGCTGTGAATAAATTAATAAAATTCCCCACTCACACTTTATTTAGAGAAATGTTTTTAAAAGTTAAGTATATGGTATGTTACATAGTGAAAGATGGTAAAGGCAGAGCAGGAAGAATTGGATTTTGCAAAATAGCCTGGAATAACCTTACTGACAAGTGACTTTTCAGGGGCGAGGCCTGTAGGAAGCAGCAAGGCAGCCTCCCAGCACAGCGCAGGGGTGCAGAGTGAAGAGTGCCCACTTGCCCTGGGCGAGGCCTGCTCACAAACAGTGGTGACTGCTTGTTTGCTTATTTTTCATTTCATGTATTTGGTATAGGCTCTCACTACGCAGCTCAGACTCGTAGTGACCCTCCTGTTTTCAGCCTCCCTAGCGCTGGGATTACAGGTGTGCGCCACCACACCGGGACTCAGTAGCCAGAGCAGCATGCAAACCGGGAATCGAACCCTGGTCCCTGTGCTTGCCAAAGCAGATGCTTAGTCCACTCAGCTATCTTGCTGGCCCCCATTGGTAACTGTTTAAATTTTTTAAATATATTATAGTTAAAGATGCATTGCTACTAATTCCCCTCAAAATACTCCCTCCTAACACACCTGTCCCATTTGTCTTGCCACTGACACAGTTCCAGAAGTCTTTTTTCTTAAGTATCTTTAATTGTGCTGTTAGGCTACCTGGATTTCCTGAATCAACTCAAAAGAGGTACTTTTTGTGCTTTTTTTTTTTGGGGGGGGGGTCTTTTTGGGACAGGGTCTCACTTTGCAACTCAGGCTGGCCTTGACACTTTGTAGCCAAGGCTGGTTTCAAACACTTGGATCCTCCTGTCTCAGCCTCTCCAGTGGTGGCATTACAGGCTTTTGCCACCATGCCTGACTCCATGCTCATTTTGACTTTAGGGAAGAGCTGGAAGTCACAGGGTGGCAGATCCGGTGAGTAAGGAATGGGCATAGAGTGCCCTTCTGGGCCTCAGTGAGTCCAGAGGCGTCCATGTTGTGATTCCTGGAGGAGTTACTGGCACTCTAGTAAGAATTCCCGTGTACCACCTCCAGTGCAGCACATGGGAAGAATGAAGACACGGAGGCATATTTGTCGTGGTGAGAGTCGGGCAGAATACTGGCTAGCCAAAATAAAGGCCTCTCTGCCCAGGGCGGAGCCCAGGCTTTGTGAATTCATGAAGAGGGCAGTGGCTCGGGATGAGTGGCGGTAGTCGTGGCAGGAAGTATGTGAGTGCTGTGAGCTGGGCTAGATAAGAGGCCTGAAATCATCTCTGTGATACGCCGAGAGGAGGTTATGCAGAAAGAGTGAGAGGACAACACTCCGAGACAGTAGCTAGTGTTTTGGGGTCAGTGCTTCAGCTTGTATATGTAACTTTTATGCCCTGAGATGCTGTGGGCCTCTTTCTGAGGTGCAGTCCTAGCCAGCATGGCTACCACCAGCCTAGCTCCCACATGCTATCTACGAGGCAGTTGTGATCACACCACCACCAGGAGTAGCAAAGTGTACCTTCTATAGGGCGGAAGCAGAGGGACCAGGAGAAAGAGGAGTACCTCGGATGCAAGGGTGCACTTGGTAGCTGGGCACAGCTCTCCAAGAACTTGGGCTTTGCTCTGAAAAACCAGAGGGTCTTGAGCCTGTGCCAGCACTGGCACCCTCAGATGCCATTTTTTTTTTTTTTAATTTTTATTTATTCATTGTGTGTGTGTGTGTGTGTGTGTGTGGCCAGCTCAGCCCACCAGGGGGCGGGGCTGGCTGGCATGTGGTGCTGGGGGATTGAACCGCAGTCCCTGTGCTTTGCCAAGCTTGTTCCAAGTAGGTGCTTTAAACCACTGAGCCATCTCTCCAGCCCTCAGATGCCATTTTAACAGGCCCACTGTGCCCACCACTGAAGGTTTAAGGTGGGTGCCTGGCAAGGTGGAAGCACCCGAGTCATCAGGAGGCCCTGGGCTTGTCCCTGCACTGCCTAGTGGCTGCTCTCACCAAGGGTGAATTGCACAGGGTAGGTCTGTGTTTCAAAGGTAGGACCAATGGGATTTGCTGAATGTTGGAGAAAAGATGACTGGAGGTAAGACCGCAGAGTCTTTGAATAATGCAGAAGCAGAGAGCCTGTCAGCTAGTTTACTGATGAATATTTTTAAATTTCAGAAAGTTGTTTGTAAAAGCACAAGGCAGTAGCTTTGCTTTCTGAAAGAAGGCGGGTGTGACTTGATTAGTGTCACGGCTAGTAAATGAGGACGAGCTTTCTGAGGCTCTGGGGAGGCGCGTTGTCTCCTCGCCTCTGTCTGCCTTACCACAGATGGGTGCTGGCTGCTGCTGCTGCTGCTTTTCTTTCTTTGTCTTTTTGAGTTAGGGTCCTACCGTGCAGCTCAGGCTGGCCTTGAGCTCACTTTGCATCCCAGCCCAGGCTGGTCCGGAACTTGCAGTGAGCCTCCTGCTTCAGCCTCCAAGTGCTGGGATTACAGATGGGCACCACCTCACCTGGCTACCTGCTTTCTTTTGGGGGCCTCTGTTTGTAGGGCACTGTCCTGGGTGGTATGTTGGAGGCAGTGGGAGAAGATGGAGTAGAGGGCTGGGGACAGAGGAATACACATCTGCGATGAGTAGTTTTAATCTCTGGTTTCAAAGAAAAACTCCTGATTGAGAATATTCCCAGGCTCATTACAGGCGCGTTGTCTTTTGGAAGACAAGTGTACATGCAGTCTCTGTTGATAGAAAGATGTTTTGGTCCAGATTAAACGTCATTTTAGCTTGATGGTTGCATTCAGGGCCAGGCTGTGTGCATTTCACAGACCTCAGGAGTGCTGTGTAACCTCTTCCGCGGTCCTGCGGGTTGGATCTGGAGGCTGCCCTGAGCTGCGCCCAGCCTCTTTGTGTGTTATTCCAAGATGGTCTCACTAAGTTGCCTGCACGGGGCTTGAACCTGTGATTCTAAAGCCCAGCCCGGGTCACAATAGAAAGAGCTCGGCATGGAGCTTAGTAGAGGCCCTAGGCTTAGTGCCCTGCCCTGCAGAAATGCATGGGTGGGTGGGCGCATGGATAAAAATGGAAGTTTCAGAGGCTGAACTAGAAGGCCCACAAATCTTACCCAGCTAGAATTGGGTAAATGTTAGTTAGTGTAGAAAACACCTTATCCTTGACCACTGTTCCTAACTGGAGTAGAGGGTTCCGCCTCCTTTTGTAGACTGCTTCTTGGTGTAGTTCTATAGTTTGAAATAAAACCTTTAAAATAACAGCTGATTATGATTGGCGTGGCCAAGAAGCCCGCTGTGCATTGTTAGCCAGAAATCTTGTTTGAAGTTCTAGGGTCAGGTGGTTAATTGATGTCTGAAGAATACACTCGTCTTATGTGTACATTAAGTGAGCTGGCTAGATTTCTTATGAATATCCTACACTTCAGATAAAGCACTAGAAAATTTCTTCTTTTGAAAGAGTGAGCCCAGAAAATTTCCTTTTCAAGAGTTCTGTGGTCTTCTCAGCAAACTTAGGTGCTACTTTGTCATTAACTCTGGATCCTACCGAGCTGCTCTGTTACCTGACAGCATCCCCATGCATGCCCCTCTGATTTCAGGGCCAGCACTGTGGACGTGTTGAGGAAGAGACCCCTCATCGTGTTCGATGGAAGCTCGACCAGCACAAGCATAAAGGTGAAGAAGACAGAGAACGGAGCCCCCGATCGTCTCAAGCCACCCCCTCGGGCAGGCGCCACCACTAATGCCTTTCGTAAAGTACCCAACTCCTCATCCAGCATCTTGCCCCTAAACTTATCTTCCACTTTGCTTACAAATGATAAAATAGAACATGGAAATAGTGACACTAAGCAGAACCATGACGTAACACACAGGAGAAGTCCTCCAGGCACTGCAAAGTCGCCACCCTTGTCCCCTGTTGGAACTACGCCTGTGAAGTTGAAGCGTGCTGCTCCCAAAGAGGACACAGAGGTCCCAGTGAGTTTCCAGGGCTCTGTGCTGTTGGGTGGTACGGAGGGCTGGCCTGGTGATACTGCCTGTGCTCTGGAACCCTTGCAGAGTGATAGGTTTTTTCGGGTGACTGGTGCAGCAGAAAAACAGGCAGAAGGAAAAAGGGAAAGGGGTTTTATTTTCTTTGAGGACATGGAAAGAATTTGGAGAAGATAAGGAATTCCCTTAATTAAAACAAAGGGAGGCTGAGGCTTTTATGGGCTTTTGTCAAGGGTGGCGTTTGAAGGGGATGTTTTGAAGGGTGGAAGTAAATTATGTCCTGGCTGAGTTGGAGAAGAAGGGGGAAGTGGTCTCAGAGAGATGGGCTTTTGTTTTAAGGGCGTCGGCCGTATTAGATGACCACTATGATGATTTTAGCAATTCACATTAGGGCTAGAACCTATCGTTTCCATCTTTTGGTAGTTATGAAAAGGGACAGTGTGTCTCTTAGACTGCTTCCTGCTAGACAGGGGCGTCGTCTTGGGGGCAAGGAAGGTTGACGGTACAACGGTTTATTCCCGTGGAGAAGTTAGTGCCATGTGTCTCAGGTTTATCATTAGTGACGGCTCACGTTGGAGACTGAAGAAACCTTGGAAGAGTTTAAAATGATAGCGTGTTATGAGTACATGTCATCATGATTAAAGGACACAGGAGGGGAAGCAAGAGGGGGGTCTGTGATTTGAATGTGTTATTTTACCACAGCCATGTTGAAGAGGAGTATCGAGTTTTAGTTTTTTATATTAATTTGGGGAAAGGGGGGCAGGGTCATCTGTGGGACTTCGACACAACTGTATTCAGGGGCCTTATGAAAGGTATAGAATAATGTGGTGGGATTGGGAGGGCCCCAGGGGAAGCAGTGATGGATGGATCCTCTGTGACCATTAAGTGATTCGTTGTATGCGCGCAGTCATTTGAGCTGGAATTGTCTTACATGTGATGAGCTCACTAAGGTGAAGGGGGTGAGTGGACTATGGTAAATTGTCTTCAACTTTCTGTTGAACTTTTTGTCTCTCCTTAGTGTGGCTGCTGTTGTGTGAGGAGACATGGAGTCTATCTGTGAGCTGTGTTGTCTAGTTGTTTAGAAAGGCTACTGCCTGAAAGGATGGTCCCTTGTTATGTCGTAAGACATCCACTGTTATGACCCTTCGAGGTGGTGTGTAGGCTAAAGTCTGAGTGGGGTTGGGTAGAGTGAGAGCCGGGGCCCTTAGGAGAGCCTGTTGTAGCTTGTGAGAGGAGGAACGTATAGGAGCAGTGGGGTCAAGGGGCTCTAACAGGGAACCCTTTGATGCCCTAGAGAGAGGCTGTGCCAGAGAGGTGAAGTCGGGATCCCAGAGGCGGAAGAAATTAGCCAGACCAAGGAAGGAGAGGACTTGCTGTTTGTGGCCAGCACCCGAAGTTCATGAAGGAGAGCTTTGCGGTCAGCAGTGATCGCACGAGTGGTGGGAGTGAGGGTGAGTCCCAGATATTTGACTTTTGGTGAGGCTATCTGAACTTGGAGGGAGAGATGCCATACCTCATCCTGACAGAGAATTGAGAAGAGTAGCTATGTGTCGCAGGGCTAGGACATAAGAGGGAGAGCAAAGGAGGAGGGCGTCTGTATATTGGAGGAGCAGGCTGGGCTTGAGGCCAAGGGTCTTGAGATCAGCAGCAAGGACTTGGCTAAAGAAATGAGGACTGTCTCTGAACCCCTGAGGTAGGACTGTATGTGAGCTGTTGAGATCGGAGAGTGGATCAGTCCATGAGACGACAAAGAGGTCTGGGCATTTGGGGTGTAAGGGAATGGTGAAGGCGTATGGGCTGGAGTCTCTTCTGATGTTTGGGGCTCTCAGGTATTGGGGATTGTAGGAAAACGCCGTGGAATCTCTGAGGCACATTAGTATAGCAATGCCATGTGTAGCACAAGTGGGACTGGAAGTGTCTTGAGTGTGTGGTCGACAAGGGAAGAGGGAGGGAGGAACTGGCTGTGTACAGAAGTTGGGTTTGTAAGATGTACACTGTGGAGAGAGAGGGGAGAGAAGTGGAGCTTTTGGAGGAGGTCTCTCCCCATGAGAGGTAGGGGACAGGTTGGGATCACAAGGAAATTATGAGTGAGGAGCAGTGTCTGGAGCCAGCAGGAAGTGGGCCTGTCTGAAGGAGTCATGTAGGTCAGCCATCAACACCCACTATGGAGACTGTAGAGCTAGCATAGCGACTTTAGAACTCAGGCAGAACATTAGATGTGGTCTCCATGTCAGCAAGAAAAGTTTTTTTACCTGAGTTGTCTAGTGAGACTTGGGCCTCTGACAAAGATACCTCGATGTGGACTGTGGAACCCAAGCTCTGTTGTTGCTCTTCAGTGGCAAGACCAAGGAGGTCAAGTGTATGGATCTGGCTGTAGCGAGTTTCCTGTGAGAGCAGGGAATTGGATGACATACCCGCTTTCTGGCGGGCAGGGCAGTCGCATTTCCAGTGACCCTCAGGCTTGTAGATGTCCTAGTAATGGCTGCAGTTTGGGGCAGGCTCGTGCCCAGTGTCCTCCTTCATCACACTTGGCCCGGGTGGCAGCATTGTGTAGGTTCAGCATTACCTCGTCAAGGTCCTGTTTTGATGGAAGTCCCGAGTGTCGCAGCCAAAAGTTGGCACTATGTATAGTTAATTTTGGTCTCTATTATTGAAGACACGGAAAGTTAGATTAAAAAAGTTTTTCTGTAGGGCTTGAGGACTGAGATCTGTCTTTTTAGCTTGGCATGAATGTCAGCAACAGGGCTGAGGAGATAGCTCAGTAGAATAAGCACTTGCCTGGCAAGCGTAAGGTCCTGCTTTCAATCCCCAGTACTGCAAAAAAAATTTAAAAAGTGAATGAATGTTAGCAACAGATAGGGATATAAAATAGGAATTATAACAGTTTTTTCTAGGAGAGTCTGGGTCTATATTAGTTTGTTTGTTTGTTTATTTATTTATTTATTTATTTGCGGAGCCAGGGATTGAACTCAGGCCCTTGAGTTTTCCAAGCAAGCACTTATTCTACTGAGCCATCTCCCCAGCCCCTATAATAGTATATTTAGTTTGGAGCAATATACTTGATCATTAGAATTTTATCTGAGTATCAAGTACCTTGAAATATAAAGTGTAACCAGAGAACTGTTATTTTTTACCAACCATGGACATTTCAGCAGTTAAATCCCAGTAGAATGTTGACGGATAACAGTTACATACCTTTTCAGAGAACATTCGATATCAGTGGTCACACACAGTAGCGCAGCGCAGCGCAGCGGTTGTAACAGGTGATGCAGTCTCCACTGTGTCCTGGCGTCTCTCAGTGCAATGGCACGCACAGCACGCATGTGAGAAGCTTTAGTTAGAAAATCGTCACGACTGGTGACCTCATGTTGGCTTGGCGAGAACCTCTTATTATGAATACCTGGGGCATAAGAGAAAGGCATGTGTTTAAATCTGAAAGAAAATCTGCATTGTGGAATACGGTGTATTTGGAAGGCATGAATACACTTAATATGTTGAGCATCCTTTATGAGAAAACCTTATTTTAAATTTTGAAAAAACTTTGTTTTAACCAGTGACCAAATTATCAGGAGTGTCTTCTAAGTAGATTATTGGGGGCTCTCTGTTGGTGAACAGATTGGCCACCCTTTTTCGAACAATCAAGAGTCCTGTCTAATAATCTCTCCTCGTTATAATGATTTTTATTTAATTAGAAACTAATTTTGATATCACTTAGACCAGCTGGTAACTCAGGAGAAAGCATGCTTTTAAGTCTGTATTTTAGAGCTCAAATAAAAAAGGAATAACTGTTTGTAGAATGACATAAAAACAAGTACACGCAGGACATATGGACATCTTTATAAAATGAGAGTGCACTCAAATATATTTCTGGCCAGGTTAAATTACAATGACCTTCTTAGGTTTGTAATTATGAGTGACTAGTCAGAGCTTTTGTAGGCCAATTAGAGATCTCTTATAAGAAGAATTTGGAAAAGGTAAAAACCTCTTATTTATGGTTAATATATGTGCTCAGGTCTAATACAGCGTATAGGAGCAGGCGACTGAGCAGGGTGTAAGGATTGGGCGCAGCACGGTAGAGCAGCACTGACAGTGTGCAGGGCGCAGACAAGTAGGCTGGCAGAGAGAGAGGCTGCGCGGCCACATCTGTGGAGGCGGCCGGCCGGCCGGGGGTGAGCAGCGGGCGCCACTGGAAAGGGTAGGGTGTTTGCTTGCTCGCTGGGCTGTGTCTTGTCTCTAGCTTGATGGATAGCAGAGGGAGGGGCACACACTGTTGGGGGGGAAAAGTGTTAAAGTGAAGACCCTAAAGAAAAAGACTATGGTCATGAGGGGAAGGGGGCAGTGAGCAACGTGAGGAACGTAGATCCACTGAAGGTGGGGTGAGGCCGCAGCTGCAGGGGAGGCAGGGGCTGGTGGCAGCAGCCCCTGTGCGAGGATGGGAAGGTGCCCTGGCTGTCGGTTCTGTCGTTCCAGGCGCAGGGTCTGATCTGACTGGAGATCGTTAGGCGGGGGACTTGTCTTTGGTTTTAGCAACTACGGAAAGAGAGATGGGGGTGAGGAAGTAACAGTGGGGTGAGAGGCCGGAGCAGATGAAGGGAGGAGGGCGGCCAGGCTGGACGCTCAGGAGACTGCAGCAGAGGCGGCTGAGGAGCTGCAGCTGGGAGGCTAGGGGAAGCGGAGACGGGAGCAGCGTCTCCTAGAGAATCTGAGCAAGTAGGAGGAGGGCCCGGGCGGAGCCGTGTGAGTGGAGAGTGTCGGGCCCCTTTGTGCTGTCAAGGGAGGGTGGGACCAACGAGGGAGGGATGTGTCTTCTAGGAGAAAAAAGCAGGAATAGAGGGACTTTTTTGCCATTTGCTGGTGTGGTGACAGAAGTTTTTTAAACTTGGGAGAATTAGAATCAGAAGTTTTTTCTATTGGCCACTGGGTTTTGCCGTCGAGCTTATATTGTAGCCCAGCTGTTTGACAGTAGAAGATTAATCGCTTCGGTTTTATGGCTTCCCGAAGGCTGGGAAGCCAAGATTACAGACCAGGCATCCCCATGGAGTGTCTTTTGGGGCCTGGGAGTGAGAACATTTCCCATGGTGATGGCAGGGGAATGTTCTGAGTGAAGGGTATACACCCAAGGAAAGAACAGTTCCCCGGAGTGACCGAATTAAGGCTGAGCAGACTTCCAAGCCTGGAGAGCGAGGGCTGGCCAGATAGCTCAGTGGATTAAAGCGCCTGCAAGCAGGCTCAGAGGCTGGGGGTTTGATCCCCAGTCTACTGTGCTGACCCCACCCCCAGGGCACACTGAGATGGCAATTGAGACTGGGTGTGGTGGCACGCCTGTAATGCCAGCCCTTAGGAGGCTGTAAACGGGCAGATCACCAAGAGTCCAATCTAATAGTGAGACCCTGAACACCCTGTAGACCCTTCCCTAAAATACAAAAAAAAAAAAAAAAGCTCAGGGAGTTGTCACCAGCTCTCAAAGCTAAGAAGAGTGAAAGCGAAGTTCCCAGACCTTGGTCCCTCCAGTCATCATGGGGGTGGGGGTTCCCTCTGGGGCGGAGGCACCAGGGATGGTTGGACTTCCAGATGCAGGGCCCTGTGAATTTCCAAAGATGACAGGGGAGTGTTCTAAGGGAAGGATATACACCCAAGGCAAAGTGAAGAGAACAAACCCCTGACTGAGAGAGCCAGAAGCAGGAGAGCTCATCCTACGTGTGAGATGGGAGGTGGACCAGTGTTGCATGCAAGCTGGCAACAGCAAATAGGCAGATCCCAGAGGAGGGAGTCTCAGGACTGGGGGGTTTTGGCCCCCAGGAGCCTCAGCTGCTGGCTGACTCACGGCCCCATATAATAGGTTTTTTTTTCAGGTGAACCAGCCCAGCAGAGAAACAGACAGAAGGAAAAAGGGAAATAGGCTTTATTTTCTTTGAGGAGAAAGTTTTTTTTTATTTCTTCTTTTTTTTTCCCCCGGAACCGGGGATTGAACTCAGGCCCTTGCGCTTGCCAGGGAAGCACTTACTCTACTGAGCCATCTCCGCAGCCTTGAGGACACAGATGTGAGGAAGATGAATTCTCTCAAGTGGAACAAAGGGAGGCTGAGGCTCTTGTGGCCTTTTGCCAGGGTGGAGTTTGAAAGGGATGTTTAGATAGACCTGAGGAGCTGATTGGGGTCTTCCCTGAGGCAGCGGGAAGGGTAAAAGTAAATTATGTTCTGGGCCAAGTTTGAGAAGAGGGAGGTGGTCTTGGGAAGATGGGCTTTTGTTTTAAGGGCATCGGCCATATTAGGTGACCACCATAATGATTTTAGCAGTTTGTACTAGGGCTAGGACCTGTCACATAGTCTGGAGGATGCTGTTTTCTTGGTCTTGGGGATTGAAGCCAGGCCTCTGCTGTACTCTTTTCCTCAGTTTAAGGCAGGGTTGCAGTGAGCCACCGAGTCACTCAGTCCAGCTTTGAATCTGTCACCCTGCTGCCTCTGCCTCCCAGAGTACTGGGATTACAGGTATGCAGCACCCCACCAGTCTGTCCGACTGTCACATTTTATTGCCCATTTTTTTAATTGCTCATTTGAACCTTGGAATTGTAAAATCCATGGTGATTGTTTTAAGTCCACTCAATGTATCTTGACTTCAAATGCTTGAGGTGGAAGTACTTATCCTAGATTTCTCTCATTATAGTTCCTTCTACCTTGTAAAAGGAGTAACATTCAGATGCAGATGAAGTTACCTCTGTGGCCTGATGTTAAATCTGTTTGTGCCCCAGGTCTCTGAGGTCACACTCCGGCCTGCAGTGTGCCTGGCTTGGGAGGGGATGCGCGCGCAGGATCTGTGGTACACTTTGCTGCGTTGATGCGTTCAGTGCCTGGATCCCTCCTGCTGGCCTGTTACCTAGTTCAGTTACACAGTTCAGGAGATGCTGCTGCACCTCTGTGCGTGAAAGGCCTTTTTGACCCTTAGCTTCTTTAGGAGCATTAGTGTATTTTGAAACCCCTCTCAGCTTTGTAGCCGTTACTGCTGTTATTCCTGTAGTAGGCTGACTGCACTGCCATCTAGTTTGTGTTGGGGTAAGACAGACCTGTGAAACAGGAGACTCTGCAGAAGCAGGGCTGCCTGGCTATCCTTGCAGTTAGTTCCTTCAGTCCTCTCGGCCACCCTAGGGAGTGGACACTGTTGGTACTCACTTCTTAGACCACAAACAGAAACTTAGGGGGTTCAGGGAACTTGCAAGCCTCCAGAGTTAGAGGGTGCACAGACTGGTGAGCGTCCATCCAGCTGTCTGGTGCCAGGCAGGCACCTAGGACACGAGCTGCTTCTGTGCTCGTACCTGCACCTTGAGGGGGCACCAAGGAGGCTGTGAATGAGAGTTGGGGGATGCAGAGGTGTGAGGGGTGAGTCTCCCGGCTCCTGCAGAGCTTGTCTCTGCTTGGAGGAACTGGGCTTGCTCAGGTGGAACAGACACACAGGCGCCCTCTGGTCCTCTTGTCCTCTCGTCCTCTTACTGTTAATGCTTCCTTGCTGCTGATGGAGTATGGATTGAGGAAGAGATGGCCCCAGGCCAAGAAGCAGGGCCGAGAAGGCCGGGGGCCCAGGCCCTGCCAGTCAGCTCTGCCCGGGAGCCAGGGCCTCCCGTGCCACCTCCCACCCTGAGATGCTCGTCCTGGGCAGGCCCAGCGGGCAGGCTCTGCACGTGCTGTTGTCAGAACTGCAAGTCCAGGAGGCTGCTTCTTGGCCTCACCGGAATCCCACCCCACCAGGGCAGTGGCGTCACCCTCGTGTGCACAGGGAGCTGCTGCAGTGCCGGGCGTTTGGCAAGTGTAAACTGGTTTCTGTTCATGTCTTTTAGAACAACCTGAAGCCACCAGAAACGAAGAGGAAGATACAGCATGTCACGTGGCCCTGAAAGAAAGTGTCCCGAAATGGAAATGCAGCTGTAACTGTAGATTTCAGATAAGTTCACATCTACTGACAGTATTCACAGCTACTGATTGTTGTTGGATTGCGTAAGAAGCTAAGATGGGCTAAAAACAGTGCCGTTCCTTCCCATCTTCCCTCCTTTTTCAATTTCTTTGAGTAGGAAAGAATGTTTTTAAAGTAAGGGCACCATGAATGACAGTTACATTGTCCATTTCTCAGCTGCAGGTCTGGTGGCAAGCACCTGATGACTTTTAAGAGTTATTTTTCCTTAGTCTTTTTCAGTGTCTTTGGGGACAGTTCAGGGTTTTTTAACTCCAGTATTTTCCTGGTTCACCGCTTTTGTTAATTGCTTTTCAAGCAGAACCCCCATACAGCTCCTGTCGGTGCTGTAGCATGGCTGTCCACACTCCCTCGGGGCTCACCAAAGACATGGTGGTCGCCCGGCCTGCAGAAGAGATTGCTGGTGCCAAGAGATCGGCACTGGTCCCCACTGCCCCACCTACGCCTTCCCAGGCCCCGGCTGGAAGAGGGACAAGAGCACTGGCCCTGGCGCACTGGTCTGCGGCTGTTACCCTGCTCGCTCTTCACGAGCAATCTGGACTGTGTTCAGTTCAGCTGTGACTCCCTGCTAAGAGCTTCAGCTCTAAAAATGAAGTGGGTCTAAAGCTTTTCAGGCCAGGTCCTCATATTAGAAGTTGAGAGAAAAGGCGTAGGCAGGATGCAGGAAGGTAGGAGAGCCTATGACAGGTGGCAGGGGAGCCCCGTGCCCCAAGCAGGCAGGTGGAGCGCAGCGCTGGAGCCAGGCCAGCCCTGCGGGACTGTCTGCAGAGGATTTTGGTTTTGGGGTGGTGGTACCACGCTACACTGTGGGAGTCAGTGACAGGATAGTGTTTACGTCACAGTCATGGAACCTGTGCTGAAGGGTCCTGTGACAGCTCATCTGCTGTGTGTCTCTAGCGAAGAACAAAGGATGTTTTAGACCAGTGATGGCAATGTTTTAGAGCTTTCAGTGATAACAGCCCGCTGTGGCATGTGTGCCCCAGGTTCGCCACCACTGCTTTATACTTCTTACTATGTATGATTGGTCTTAAACTGGGGTTTGCCTTTTATGTATGTTTTAGAGGACTGTTACGCTTGATTTGTTAAAATAAGCTTTTTGTTCAGCTATTTAGTAACCTTATAAACAATTAGTTCAGCCTTGCAGGTAAGTACTGTACTGAGACAACAGTTCTGATCACCCTGCCTTTATTCCAGGTTAAATATGTATGCATAAGACAGAACTGACACACAGTAAGGGTTATGTGCATTTCTCCTTTTATGGTCCATTTGTAAGCATGTTACCTGCAGGGCTGATGACTTTCTTTCCTTTTTTTTTTGTTTCATTTTGAGGTGGGGTCTTGCTGTGCAGTTCAGGCTGGCCTTGAGCTCACTTTGTATCCCAGGCTGGTCTCAAACTCACACCAATCCCCCTGCCCCAGCCTCCCAAGTGCTGGGATTACAGGTGTGCGCCAGTGGTCTGATGGCATTCTGATCTTCTGGTGTGCATTATAAGAAACTTAGAAAGGACAGGTTTTAGGGAAGAACTTTTTTATTCGGTTGACCCCTCTGCTTCCACCTATATTTCCCTCTTAGTTAAGGGAGAGTTAACCATGTTGACGATTCTGTCAGTGGGAGCTTATTTTTAGTTACTCAGTGAAATTAATTTTTAATTTGTATGTTTAACTTACAGAGTAGGTTGGTAATAACAGCTGAACTGTGTCACACTGTTGCTTCAAATTGAAGTTCATATCACAAACACGTGGAGTCCAAACTCCTGGGCTGTCTGGAGCCCAGCGGGCCGAGCGCCCCACATGCCCCGATCTGAGATGCACCAGGCACCGGGCTTTGGGGGCCTAGGTCTGCTTCACACGCAGAAGGATGAGCCTGGAGAGCTGGCTTAGACGACCTTCCCCCACTCACGCTCCACCACGCTCTTGACTCCCTGGGTTGGCGGGTGGCTGCGTGTGCAGGAGCCTTCCCTCTCCCTCCTGCTTTCTCCTGCCCTTCCCCACACGGCTCCTTCTGTCATCCGTTCTCATGCCCTGCAGAGCCCGGGCTGAGGCTTTGGGTTGCGAGGCATATTGTTTGACCTGTGCATTCGCCGTCGGAGCTGCACTGACCTAGGCCTCACACCTGGGACCCAGGGCTGCTGAAGTCCCGTCTTGAAACCCTGTTGGTGGCTGTCACAGCTGCAAGGCATCTGGAATGGCCAGCCACTGGGTGCTGGGGAAGCCGGCTCACCACAGCCGGGAGGCTGTGATAACCTGTGCAAGTGTTAGAAGCCTTCGGAGTTGGAGTTTTTATTTGAAATTGCATTTCGGTTGACTTGTTTTGAGAGATGATTCTAAAACTGACCTAGAGACTCATTCAATAGCAATGACGTCTGAGACTTACATTAAGTAACTGCCAGTAGATCGAGTCATGAATGTGTGAGGGCTTCAGGGCTTTCCAGAGGCTGCCAGATGGTCAAGTGTTTTTAAGTGTGCTCTTTTATTAAATGCTTGTGTAAGTTTTGTAATTCGATACAGAGAAGTTTGACCTTGTAATGTACATTTTTGTATGTAAAAAGTCTTTTAAGTAGCTTTATCCTTATTTAAATAAAGCTGAATAAAATTATCTCAGTAGGTCTATTCTTTAAAAAGTAAGCTGGGGGACTGGCAAGATAGCTCAGTGGACTAACCACCCGCATAGGCAAGTGTAGGGACCAGGGTTCGATTGCCACTCGCAGGTGCACTGAGCTGGCCACTGAGACCAGGCGTGGGGGCTCATGCCTGTAATCGCAGCACTGGGAAGGCTGAGACAGGAGGATCACAGTGCATGGGAGCTGTGTAGTCAGATCCTGTACCAAATACATAAATTTTTAAAACAGGGTGGGAAGATTCCCTGACACCCTGTCTTTCCATCTCAAGCACTGTAGGGAAGTCCACTTGTCCTTCCCTCTGTGTGGCTGGGAACAGGCGACCCCTCCAAGTGGTCTGTTGTGGGGCCACAGAGAACGGCGCGTTGCTGCTGTGGGACAGAGGTGTGACCAGTGTGCCTTGACAGAGCAGTTCCTGGACCTTCGCATGCAGAGAGCCTTCTGACAAAATGGAACCATCTGGAGATAGCTGCTGGCCCTGGGGCGGTGCCGGAGGCCAGTGGAAGAGCCACCTTGCTTTGTGAGCATGTGACTTCCTTCTTCCAGGCCCCATGCACGCTGGGCAGGCGCGTGGGCTGAGCTGCACCTGCTTCCAAGATGCTGTCTTGGTGATACATCATTTACCTCAGTTCAGTCACTTGGAAAAGCTTTGGGTATTCCCGCTTGGAGCCCGGCCTGGTGCCCAAGGCTGCCCTGAAGTCCACAGTGCCTGAAGCTGGCGAGAGGAGGCCAGCCTGGTGAGTCATAGGAACAGCGCTTGACCAGAGACGGCTGACCCTACAGAAGGCTCTCTGCTGCTGTGTGTGTCCTGCTGCCGCGTGGCATGGGCCATCTCCAACGTGCTGCTCCCAAGAGCAATCCTTGCAGTCACCCACACAGGCCACAGCCCAGATCTCAGCATTCTGGGGGGCCCCAAGGGAAGGTCTGGTCCTCACTGCAGCCTGCAGCACCGGGACCCCAGCCCGATGGGCCCTGCCTGTGCCAGTGAGCCCCTCCACACCTGCCCCTCCACAGCCCTCCTGCAGTGGCACCGCTGAGCCACAGAGCCTTTCCTTCCTGAGAGGAGGCTGGCCTGTCTATCTGTCACAGTGACACCCTGTGTCCCTTATTACTACTTCGCAGCTTTTTCAACAAATATCAGACTTTTCCCATTTTTTTGTTTTGTTTTGCTTTGTTTCATTTTTTGAGGTAGGGTCTGTTGTGGAGTTCAGGCTGCCCTTGAACTTGCTGTGTAGCCCAGGCTGGCCTCAAACTCAAGGGGCTCCTCCACCCTCAGCCTCCTGGGAGGGTCCAAAAGACAAGGCTGGACTCAGATTTGGAATCGTCCTGCCTCAGCCTCACAGTGTTGGAATACAATTTAAATTTTTTAGTCATAAATCTTAGGGAAGTTTCATATTTATAGGAGAATTGCCAAGGTAAGACCAAGAATTTTCATACCCCTCACACCAAGTCTCCCCAGTAACGGATTTAGCATGGCCCATGTTGTAAGTGAACCAACACTGCCACCCTGCTGCTAACATCCTGTATTTTCACATGGACCTGCATAGGACTAGCGCCCTGCCGTGTCCCTGGGGCGGGCCCACACACAGTGCCACAGCAGGCAGGCATTTCCTTAGGCAAAGGCTGAGATTGCTTTTGCGTTGGGTGTGCTGGTCAGGCCTGAGGCCTCACGGTTGGGATCTGAATGATGTTTTTCAGCAAGTGCACAGGGGCTGCGGATTTGGGGGAGGCACAAAGCAGAGTGCTGTTCTCACGGTTTCGAGGGCACAGTGAACATGTCACCACTGAGCGCGCAGCCTTGGCCACCTGGCTGACAGTCTCCTCAGAACACAGCTCTTGCACTGTGCTGCGCTCGGAAGCAGGCAGTGCAGTCAGCGCCCCTCTGGGAGCGAGTGTCCGTACATTATTTGGGGTTCACCGCTCGTGAGTAGCCAGCCACCTGTGTATAGTGCTTGCTTTCTCCTCCCTCCAGATGTGGTTGTTGGCCACCAGAAGCTTTTGGAGCACGGCCCGAGTTTCTGACATTGGATGGACAACGGGTTCATTTTCGGTATTTCTTGCCCAAGACCTGGCATCAGCTGCTTGGCCGAGAGGATTGGGCTGGCCTTACTGGAGAAGAGTGTTCAGAACCAAGGTTCTGGCTGCAAGGGGTGCTTGCTGCTCCTGAGGTGCCCCTGCGTTGCCTTCTTGACAGCAAAGAGATTGTGAGGGGCACTGTATTCCTAGCTCTATAAGTATCTACTCATGGCTATCACATCCAGCAGCCATTTGTACCCATAACAAAATAGTGGATATAATTTAAAATTTAAAATTTAATTATTTACAGTTAGAATTA